AACATTAGATTCTAACTGATTTATATGTAATGAAAACTGCAATTTAATATATACATATGTATATTTTTGAATAGAAAAGTATTCGAAAATCAACGTTTAAACGTTTTCATCTAATGAAATGATATTAAAGCAATTAAAAGATAATATTATAAAGAACCACATCTACGCCTGTTACCCATATTATAAGATTACAAAAATAAATAAAACACTACAAAATCAATTTTGAGTTATATAAGTATAAAACTGTCAAGAAAGATTACAAGTAATAAAAAAAAATATCTTTAAATTCTCAAATATTTGAAATCGTATATAAAAATAGTTAAATATTTTATTTATTTTAAAGTTTACAAACTTAAATGTCACTTTATCAATATTTTTCAAATGGAAATATTTATTAACGCGTAGAAGCTACTTACAAATTTAGTCGTATATCGATCAATTAGAAATACAGCTATCGTGTTTATTAGTTGGTGGAACATTATTTGAATTTGGCCTTTCGATTTACGGTACTAACAATTCCCTAATTAATACTAACGGGAAGATTAAAATGTTTCCGATGAAACTGGAAAGAAGCCGACGTAAGCCTAAATTCCGCAGACTACGTATAAACTTCATTTATATCGCTGGTATATTTTCGAATAGTTACTGCGAGTTTCCTTATCTCGAGTTTATTAAGTATCATTCAGTTGCGTAGCTACGGGAAGGCCACGAGACGACTAAGCCCCCTAAAATTTATAATATCTTCCAGCTTAATACCCTAAGCATTGGCCTATTATAAGTTATGATATACGCTTTCGCTTCCGTTATATAAACTTACCGTAGGTTACTGTTACTTTTTACGCGTGAACTGTAGCTAAGCTGGGAAAAGTACCAGTCGTTCGTTCTTTTTGTATCGCGTTTACGTCTTAATTTGCTACTGTACGGTACTGTACATCCAGCCCTCGCCTTTCGCGCTATCAGATAACGTAAACCTATTTTTAACGGATTTAATTAATAATAATCACCCGTACGAAGCACGAAAAAGCCAGAATATTAAATATTAGTGTCGATTTGCTATATGTTTGTAAACCTATATGATATAAATTATACGTTTCGTGATTTTTAAGCTATCGAAATTGTAAGCGTTTAATAATATCAAGTATTTATCATCCGTATTGCACTTTCAAATGATAATTTTATTATTTAAATGATACAAATTTTCTTAAAGTAAAACTTGAGTTTAATAATATCACAAATACTTCCAAAATGTTATTTCGGATTTAATTTATTAATTTCTCATTCTGACTCTTATTTCTTAGTCGAGAATATAAACTTACGACCGTATTCAAACCGAGAGTCGAGAAGCAGAATTTGAAAATAACCAATAAGCTTTCGCGTACTAAAATTAATACGAATGGTAATTGGTTAATTTGGTTCTCGCTCGCGAATACGGACGTTACACGTCTAACATTAAACTCTTACAATCGAGTTTGCTCGGGTTTGTTCGAAGATATAAAACAGCTGAATGTGAAAAAATTAATGAAAATTCTATTATTCTGCTATAATTTTAATCTTAGGATATTTTCGATATTAATAATTGGACTTGGTTACCGAATTCGCTTTAAAAGTCCTCGGATATTTAGCTCTTTTTTCAAACAATTAACTATAACGGCATTGTTTGAAAAGTGATACCGAGTCGAAATGGGCAAATACTGCCCTTTTGAGCAGTATTTGCCCATCTGTAAAGTTAATTGCTCGAAAAAAGATTTGGAATGTTACGTTCTAAGAATGTGAATAACAATGCGAGTATTCGATATTTCGAATGTATCGTCGATAAAAGTAAATTCGAATACAGTACTACGAATACATTCGATATCACGCCATATCAGTTCTAGGCTATAAACGGCGCCTTTTAGGCATTTTTTGATCTAATTCGAGACAAGAAAATCCCGAAAGTGTTCGAATGCTTCTTTTCGTAAATAAAAGTAAGTTAAAACGAGGACAATCGCCGATTAATCTATTGTAGTCGAGATAAGAGTACTTATTACAATAACTATTTAGTTAATAAAATTATCAACTAAATAAGTTACTGTAATCGTACGCGGTAATCCTTAAAAACTAAAATCAGTTATTTATAGTATATCGTAAGCGGGGCTCGATTTGCGCTTAAGATATATAAGCCGCAGTTTAGGGCCCGACATTTTTACACGTATTATTATTTAGTGGAGGAGAAGGGTCCGTTAAACGTTATAGCTTAGGCCTGGATCGATCCCCCGAACACGGGCCCTTTTTTAAAACATTCGATCGAGCATAAATTAAATAATCCAACATCAAATTATTTGTATACTCTAGCAAACGAATTTTAAAAACGAAAACGTCGACTTAAAATATTTATTAAGTAACGAATAATTATTATGTTTAAATTTTATTATTATTTTTTCAAATTTTCGATGGATGTTTTTAAAACGTTAAAAGCTATCCGAAAAGCCAGAATATCAATTGATTTAATAAAACGTTTCACGTTTTCATCACTATACACCACGCGGATTGTATTATTATAACGTAAATTTAGTTCCTTACGTATATAAATACGTGCCTGGAATTACGTAATATAGTTATACACTCGCGGTTATATAATATATTGAAGTTACGTGCGTAAACACGAAAATCTTTCGTAAATCATTTTACGGTCGGCAACCGGAAACGACTCCATTGGAAAGTTCGAAAAGTCACGGAGTAAAACGACGGAAAATTGCGTTTATTTATTTATTTATTTTATTATTAAATGGCGTGTTTAATATATAAATACCGTATAATTGTATCAGTGGTTGCAACGCCGCATTAATCAGAACTATAAGAGTTTAAGTCGATAAGATTACGGCTAAAATTGCCCTACTCGCGCGATAATCCTTATCGTTATTTTATCGTAGACTCGATGGCGCCATCTGCATTTAAAATAAGTAAACGCTAAACAAAATTTTCTTATTAATTGGCTTTTTTCTTTTAAAATTAGAAATTTATAACGTAATTAAATTTTAAAATATAAATGGAAGTAAAATATAATGTCTATTAGAATATTACGAGAAAACGACGAAGATAAAGTTATTCTCCTCTCCAATTATCGGCGTTTCTGGTATAGGTCTAAATAACTATAAAAAGTACAAAGCCGATGTTTATATATTTAGAATGGTCGGTAATGATTTTAAATAAAATACTACCGTATTTTAATATTTAAAATCTTCTTTAGTTTCGTAATTTTACTATTATAAGCGTCGACAAATAATGTAGTTACGCCACTCGATTTTTCGCATAATTTACATTATTTTTAAATATAAGCGATTTAAAAGTTTAAAAATTTTTTCAGATTGTACCGTTTATCTTTTTAAGCCCAACTTTTATCACTTTTTGACGGTCGGTTCCGCGGTTTCCCGGGACTGAAGAGATAAATTTATACGAATTTCTCTTTTTCGAGATCGTATAATTTTTATTTATTGATTTTTAAAAATATATTAAGTTTTACTTCTGCCGGATTAAACGGTTCGTAATCGAAACGAAAAGAATCGAAAGCGTGGATCGAATTAAGTGGTATAAGAGACGAATGGCTTAGATTTAGCCCGTATTTTTTGTTTAAATATAGTTAAACCGAGACGTAAAGACAATTTGATTTAATAGTCGTAAGGTTAAAATCGAGAAAAAAACATCTTTGGACTACTTAAATTACACCGTTTAATATTTTCCGGGACGGTGCTCTTCGACCAATTTATGTCCCCCGGTCATTTTACCACATAAATGATAGCGCCTAGAACATTAAATTTGTTAAACAAAGAATAAATAACGTGTATTAAACTCGATAATATATACGTATTAAATTGTGTTTTAACGCTAATAATCCAATGGTTAAATTAAAAATAATTTCTCAACATCGAGTACACTTTTTTAAATTATCGTTTTATATTTATTATGGATTACGTCCGTGGGATAGGAAGCTTCGATTCTCCGATTACATTCGCATTTTCTAAATAGGCTTTTATGTCTTACTTCACTAAATATTTAAGTAAATGTAATTAGTATTCTTCGCCGCAAATGATGATGTAGCCGATCGGTGGTAAAAGTAACTTATTGAATCTATTACCGAGCATCCTTCGCTCCAAATTCTAGAAAAACCGGAAATATTTTTATATACATTGTGGACTGTACATTAAATTTTAAGACCCAAAAGTTAAATTTTGTATATAGCCGAATATAGGATCCGCATAATGTAGAAGAGGTACGGTGGCTTAATGGAGGATGACTGGAAACGATTAGCCGTATATTTTAAAAAATTATTAGAATTGTTAGCCTTTTTTCCATTTTTACGGATTAAAATAAGCCATTAAGCGCTTCTGTAGTTTTCTTTCTACTCCTTTATCTGTCGGAAATGCGGGTTAACGGAACAACGCGCGACTAGATGATAATTCTAATTGCTTGATGTAACAGAACAAATGCGGAAGTTAGAAATGACACATCGGGATGTTAAAAAGTAACGATACCTTACAAAGGAGTATGGAAACGCTTTTAGAATCACTCTAAACAAACTTATCGAACGGCGAGTGAAAAACAAACAGAACCTTTGTAAGAGTCACTCGTCGCCGTTATCTGTTTGAACTCTCGCAAAGTAACTTTTCTTATTTATATCGATATTTACCAATTAAATAATTACTTATAATGTAAATTTATCGGAATATTAATAATAAAAACACTTTTTGTGTCGTAACGGCGGAATTTCGACTACGACTGCAATAAAGGAAGAACTAACGATCTTCCCTTAATTAAATGCCAGCCAATTTATATAAATCTATCGAGGCGTTTAAAGTATTTATAACATCGATTAATCATCAAAAACTATTTATGAAATGATATAAATTAATACATTATCTGTTAAAAAATTTCTGACGCTATCGTGTGGGAAAAAAAATTGATAAAAACGCGTCACTAAGTGACGTAAGCGTGATTCACACTGGAAGCGCCTTAAGACACCGAAACAATTTTTAAAAATGGAATTTTTATTTACAATAAAAAACATACACGACGTATAAACAATGTAATAAGTATAAAACTGACTTTTTTTTAAAGAAGCGCATTATTATCACAATAATAGGAAAATCGTGAAAAATATCGTCAACAGAAGCCCTCGTTTATTTACATTTCTTGACGTTTATAAATACTTAAAGATACAATAAAAATAATTCTCTAATCGGAAAAAATGAGGTAAACGAAGCTAATTTCCATCGATTGAGCAAACGCTTTACATAGGAATATCTTTGGTAGAATATATCACATCATAGTTCCCTACTGACGTCATTCTGAGAGTAGGACCTGGACTGGTGGTGTGTTTCGGTCCTTTCACGGAAAGAAAGCTGAAAAATAAAAAAAAGGAGACGTTCAGAAGCCGCGGAAGCATTAAAATAAAAAGTTTAACGCGACCGAGACGATTATTTACCCTCCTCAGGTTAAATCTTCTTTCAAAATCGTCGCTAAGTCTTCTTAACGTTTGCCCAATTTCTGTAAAGTTGATCGAACTATTCACGCTATCGACAGGAATGGAAACAGATGCGGATCTAGCACGTTCCACTGGTCTACCACTATGTTGCACTACGTCCGGTAAAGGCAGGTGGTTACATCCCACTCTGTTTATTTCTTCTCCTAAGTAAAGTTAAATTAATATATATATATATATATATAAATCATTAATTAAATTCAAATTAAGAATCGGAGCCTTCTTTTACAGAAGTTTTCCGAATGTTTTTTTTTCTATAAAAACTCTTCGTTTCTATAGAAAAATAGGTCAAAAGTGAGATGATGATTAAGCAGACAAACGCGAAACAGCCAGTTTCCTGGGTTAACAACAGTACCAGCTGGGGCACAGGTCGAACAAAGAAGTTCAAAATCTGCTAGTGACTCAGACATACTCTAACTTGTAGCTGATTTTTGGCAGGATGCCAGAGCATGTTATGCTTTACCGAAGTGAATCTTTACTTCACTTGTGATTAATGAAACTTGTTCCTGTTCAGATTCTTTTTATTTTTTCAAAGCTAATTTTCTCTCTTTACCAGGTTAAATCCTATCATTTTTTAATTTCGCGCCTATAATTCCAGGAACGAAGAAATGATTTAGTTTATAAACATCAATATTTTTATGGCGATAAGCCGTCGTACTCGGCTTTAAACCGATACAGTTTTGTTTTGGAACTATTTAATTTTCTAAGTCCAACCGTGCCAAGTCGCCTTACCTCTGGTTCTGTTGGTATCACTCTGGTGGTCATTGGGTACGTCCATCGCTTGACAAGTTTGAGTGGCTACACTCCTCATAAATCCCATTAATCTCGATTGGCGTAACTGACGAGGGCACGGAGATCTGCCGAAAGGTGAGCGGTTTAAGGAACCCAATCCTAATCCCGGTGCGGAGCTACTTAAGAGGATAGGAATCGGCGAACTGCGTGAACTGGTGACCGGAACCGAATCTTCTTCGTTGTCCGAAGACAAATGATGATCGAAAACGGGAATATTCTCTCTGGAATCGTTAAAGTTGTAGTCTTCGAAGATGAAAATGTGGCGATCTTCGGCGCTGGCATTACTTTCCGTTCTTTCCGGCCTGGCTGACGTATTCGAAAACATCGGATCGAGACCAATAAAATTCATCTATACGGAAAAATATTAATTAAATTAGTCACGATTTTCACAATAATAATCTCTGGGATGACATCGATAAGAGTGCATAGCCCTAGAGTTACGCTCAAGGTTAACTACGTATAATGTAGATTGTGCGGTGGGGGTGTGTTTTTGTGGCGTTGCAAATGTCAGCTGACGTAACTTAATAGGTCATTAGACTCTAAATAAAAAGTAAATCCGATTGGATCGTCGCAATTTCGTGGCCATAAAATTATTTACAACGCACCTGAATGAAGATATGACACACTCGTGACTGATTAAACCGATAAATCAAAATAAAACTAAACACCATTGGTTTTTTATTTTTAAAAATAATCACAATTAGAGTCATTTAAATGCGTATATTTCTATGAAAAATTTAAATTTAACTCGCATCCTCGGAAAACAAGATTTTCGTACGACGTCACACTATCGTATCCTGTTTTTGTCAGAGGTGACATCATTTCCTACTTTTTATTAAAAACTTGACAAGTAAGAAAGTTTTCGATAAAACAGAAAGGTAAACCAAACTGTCAAAAGTTATTTACGTCTCGTTTCGTGATATAATCTGCATCAATACCAGCAGTTCTATTATGGCAACCATAATAGGGTCATTGACAAGACTGGCAACAGGCCCGATGTCCTTGGACAATCAGACGATGGTGTCTTGTTCTGGAAAGACCAGTTTTGCATTCGTATAATATATTAATATTCTTAACTAAAAATTACGCGCTTTAAATAATTCTAATTAACAGTTTAAGGGAGGAAAAAATTAATTAAACCGAATGCAACACGATTCGAATGCGGGATAGTAAATTTAAAAAATAAATAAAAATTACAATTACTCAGTAGGAAAAATACCCACCGTTTAGTGACTAGGGTAATTTTTACTTCACGATCTGAACTTTTTTTTAAATCGACTCATCCAAACGGCACAACTAACTTTGCTCCTTTACCGCCAACTTTATTTAGAGGCGAGGTTTCGTTAATCTTTCGGGAAGATAACGTGACACTATTGGTTGTTGGGAAATGACGTACGGGAAAGTTAATTTTTCCTCTGACGTCGCACTTTAAGGCCAATCCAAGCGGCGCCTTAGTATAAGCATTGACCAATGAGAACGAGTCTAGCCGAGCAAGTTTTAACCTGATAAAAAGAACAATTAATTAAATTCGAAAGAAAATTTTTTATAGAGTTTATTATTATTAAATATTTAATTATATTTACACCCGAAATGCTAACGTAGTTTATGTTTATTTACGATGATTCAATGACATCACTATACGATAAGATCTTATATGACGTCGGCTATGATTCGAGAAAAAGTGAAAAAAATGTCACCTCTCGAAGCAGCGTTTCTAAATACGATCGTTGCATTAATTAGGCTCATAGATAATAATTATCCAAACATTATCTAATTTTAAATTATTTAACGTTCATTTTCTAAAGTTAAACGAAAAACAGAGACTGGTCACGTGTTTGGTAAGGTTGGTGAAGACCCGCTGCTTTCAAGGACGAGCGTTTAAGGGTCTCGGTGACACTGCGGGACCACTTCATTTCCTTTAAGATAAATCAGAGCCAAGTCAACAAATTTAAGATGAGAAGCGATTAAGTTGGGCTGTATTTTTTAGAAAATATAAACAAAAAACATATCCTCTATCCCAGATAAACCGGTCCGAGCTGTAAATTAACAGTAAAATAAATGGGATCTACTCACTGTTATTTGTAAATCCCTCCAGCTATCTGCCTGGTTATTGTATTATTTAGATATTTTTAAAATCGATGGTTTATATAACTCAATATATTAATATATTATTCGAGGTTTTAAAGTGTATTAAACAGGTTAGAGAAGTTCAAAAACTGGTTTACAACTATAGCACCTTGTTTCGTAGCATCGTTGCGCGCTTGTTTCTTCCTAAGTTATTTTTAGGAACCCAAGGCTATACTCTAGAAATCGAATTATCTTCGAGATAAAAATATTGATGTATTATTTATCAGAGAATATATAATTTTGCGTAACACCCAAGAACACGGGGGGAAAATAAACAATTGATAACAGACCTAAACTATACGAATTTTAACTTTATATTACGCTTTAAAACGCGTAAATATAATAATTAAATTACATATCGGGTAACATAATTTGTTTAATTACTACATAAATTAATAAAATAATTATTTTCTAAGTTATATTGCACCCGGAATTGTTTACGAAACGTTTTACAATTTGATAGTGTAAATTTTAAGGGCGAATTCGACCCTAACATTAAAATATGAGTTTGATAACCTCGAAATAACGTCGTAAAATAATACAGCTGTTGGTTCTAAACTGCTAAGCGAAAAATATAGAGAGATTAGTCACCTTTTTTAAAGGGTAAATAATTATTGCACTTTAAAATTTATAAATAATCAAATCGAAAAACCTTAAAACAAAGCGTTTCGCAATTACTCACTATAAGATTTGTAAATACAGTACTGTATTGTGTAATGATAAACCGAAAACGTTATTCGCAAAATGCTCTGCAAGCGGGAAAACATTAAATAATGAAAATTAAATGTATTTTATTCCTTGTTTACAAAACGTGATCTTAAATAAAGATATATTTTTACTTCCTAAATATTTGTATGCCTCGTTTAAAATAAGGGTGTATTATCTTGTTACAATTTAAATTTTAAAGATATACAGCATCGCTATTTAATAAATAAGCGTGCGTCAACTATAAATATAAGTTTTATACGTAAATAATTGTGGATACAATTTTAAAACTTAGTTTAATAGCGCTTATTGAAAACGGCTTTGAAAGTAAACAATGACGTATATTTTATGTATGTAACAGAAAGAAGATTTAATATTTTTATCTAAATTATTTTCTTAAACCGAAATTATGTAATATTCGATGAGAAATATATTAAAATTATGAATTTTTATTAATTAAAAGTGCTACAAATCTTAATTTAATGGGCATTAAAGCCATCTAAATTAGCTTAAATATAGCCTATAATAAAATGTTGTGCATTTATCTATAGAAAACAGTGTTGAACTTTTATGTTTATCTATAGTAAAACGAGAGAAATTATATTTTTTTTATCTACAATAAGAGGGTGAAGTTACATGTTTTATCTATACTAGAGCAAAGCATACAGCTGAATCATTGCTTCGAAACAAGAAAAGTCATCTAAACGCGCTTGTAACCTTCAGTTTTTATCTGTGGCGTCACCGTGTCTGTTACTATACACCAAAACAACCTTTCGGTAACGGATTTTACCAATTTAAAAATCGAATAATCTAATTACAAAATGATAAGACCTACAAATTTCATGTAATAAATAAAACTAGCGAATCTTATCTATATACAAAGGGAACTTTGAATAGGGCAACACTCCAAATAATATTATCTATAAGCGTTGTAACAAGAAAATTAAATGTAATTTTGTATAATAGATTGTATATTTTCTTTTCTTTTTTAGATTTTTCTGATAAATGAGATTTATATTTGGTGCCAATGAGTCATAAATTTGTTAGAAGGCAGTTTTATAGCAAACAGAAATTATGAAGCATTATTTTGTTGAAAAATACTCCATTTTTTATGTTCAAAATGACTAAAGGTTTTAAATATGTTTATTATTATTTTTTGTACGAAGCGGGAAGCAGTTACGAAAATAGAAGCCTTTGAAGATGACACAACTTCTATACTCTTATATCATCGATTATAGATATTGCATCATAAAAAATAGCCTTTCCGATCGTTTACAACTGTAAGATTGAGTTACGGTTACAAAATTTAACCTTATTTTAAGTAAAAACTTTAATAATGTTTACGAGAAGTCTTATTTTAAGTTTGCGTATGTTTTTATTATTAATATTTATAAATATGCAGTGCATTATACTAAAACGTGACTTCTGATTTTTTTCTTTTAATTTTCTTTTGCTTATTTCATGTTAACAGGCTATTTTGTAGGGACTCGGAAAAGTAATTACACACTCGACAATATTATCGACGTAATTACGGATACTTATATTAACAAGGGGGCCCATTACCCTAGAAAATTAACAGGTACAATATAACCGCATATCACACCGTGCTGTACGCAAGATCGATCCAATCTACCCAAAATTATCTGGTCTTGCATTAACAGTATTTTAAAATAGTTTTAAATAATAAAATAATTTTACATTTATTTTTAAAACTATGCTTCAGATATTCAAATATAGTTTTTATTGTTACTATTATTTTTTCTTCCTTTAAAAAAATGTATGTTGGTAACAGTTTTGATTGCTTTATAATGATTTTGTAATGAATTTTGCGCCCCAGGCCGCTACTTGGATAGCAGATGCAGTCGTTCCTACTTGTTGTTTCTCCCTTTTTCAATGGCTTTACGGGGCCTCTATGCCCTCGGGCCCTCTGAGTCATCGGGGTTCTTCCTTAGCTTCGCATAACGTTTGTGTACAGTACGACCCTTTCAATACACCATTATTATAAAGCAATTGTCTAACACACCTTATCTATACAGGTGAATGAGAAGCCAAACAAAAGTTGGCAGATTTATCAAAAATTAATTCCTGTAAAGTTAGCTTCAAGTGTTTTAAACATTGTTCTTAATGAGCGGTGAAATGCGTGCTAAGTCAACCAGATAAAGAAACGAGCACCCTTTAAATAACCGTTTAAAAATCATTTTCTACCTTGATAATTTCAATATTACGTAATTTCAACAGAAAAATCATCGATTGATAAATTAATAATAATAACAAACCTTATTTAAATAGAGAAATAAAAAAGAAATGAGAAAAAAAGCTGGTTTCATATTCAAATTAGATGTAGTTACGATTATATTAAGTCGTTTCTACGTCGAATTTAACGACGTAACTTATAAATATTTATATTTTCCTCTTCTTAAAACTAAAAAAAAAGAGTTGATAATATATACATGCTTAATAAAAGCAATTGTTTTTGAAGATTTATACGAACATTTTAATAGAAGAACTTTTTTTTTAACTAATTTTCCAATAAGAGAAAATCTTACTTCTATGATTTATAAATAATTATATAATAAATATAATAGCGTTAATTTTTTTTAAAATAGTTAATTATTATTTAAAATATTTTAAAAAATTATTTAAGTAACAATATCTAAGCATCGTTTTTGAATTTTATGCAGAGACGTTACTTAAATTCCATGAATGTAAACAGAAGCAGTCGCTGAAAATTTATTTTAAAAAATGAATTGATAAATATTGGTTTATATTCAAGAATTACAGAAAACTGAGTTAATTTATTAAGAATAATGAACTTGCATAAAAATCATACGTTATTTGCATTATTTATTACGTATTTATGCAGACATTTCTTTATTTTTTTATCTAGAATTATTTAATTATTAAAACTGTTTAACTTTTCACTCGTAAACAATAACTTATAATGTAGGCCTATACATATTACACAGAATTGGCTTATTTTTTATAATTTTAAAAGCATTAAATAACGAAAATAAGATTTCTTTTAAAGTGCTTAAAAATGTAAGCCAATAAAAGATTTTAACAGAAAAATAAATTTCTATTTGATAATTTCATCGTAAACTAATCAAAATTGCCAATCTATTTCACCTTATCTTTTGAGGAATTTTCAAAGTTCCTCAAAGGAAATTAATTAATATAATATTAATACTTCCTTTGTAAGAAAATGTATAAGGATGAGTAAATATACAATAGATAAAATGAAGTTATTCCTTTCAAAATACGTGTTATTAATTTCCATGATATGCAAATAATCAAATTCCTTGTTTAGAAAACTATTTTGAAATTTCTACCCACAGCTTTTTCTGAATTAGTTTATATTCTAAAGTAACATCACTCGCTTTGTTTAGAAATAAAATATTATAACGAAACATCTGCTGGTAGAACGATTGATAAATACCTGTATGATTAGTAATACGGCACCAAGGCTGATACGTTAATGAGGAATTCTATTAATTGTAACATTATAATTGACGTACAACGAACAAGGATGTTCGGTTTGCGTACAATAAAAATGCATCGTTTCCACTAATAAATCTACTCC